GGGGGGGGAGGGGAGCCCCAAGACAGGACAGGACGACTGAGATCCCTAACCAATCAGTGAGCGCCTACCTACCACCAAATATATACGGCAATGCAATCAAGTACGACCTTGGAAAATTAGGTTTAACCATGATCGCTAGAGATCACCTCACCTCGACCCCAACGCATGGAGTCAGCATTTTTGCGTTGATCCATCCTATAATATTATAATACAACAAGCATAATAATAATAATATACAAAGTACCAATAATGCTACTAATAATAATACCAATACTATATACAGTTGCCTTAATAAAGCTGACCTGACCTGGACATATTGTAAATTATTTATTTTTATTTGCGAACCTACTTTCAGTAAAAAGTATGCCCATCTTTGTTGCCGCGATAACCGCCGTTGCGTCTGGTTTTATCCTCCCACTGCTGTGGTCCGGCTGCCGGTCAAGTCAACTCTCCGAGGACGAAGAGAGGGTGGTGTGGCTGCGTATGCAGGAGGAGGACTGTCCCCTGACACCCTGGCCCGAGATCTACTCGCAGTAAGTCCGAAATGTAATCACCACTAGTGCTGAGTACGTTTTCATTTGCCCAGTCATCGCAGGTAGCTGCAAACGAGGCCGCTTTTTTATAGAAGACACCACAAGCTACGAGGACAGTACCTCTCTAAAATGCAGAAACAAGTCACGTTCCGGAATCGTGATGGAGCATGATGCCAAGCGTTACCCTTATTGAATTCATATAATACTATTCTACTGATAACGTGTGAGTAGCAGTAATTTATAAAACGTATCTATTTATATTCATCAGTCTTCTGGACATGCAATTTTCAACTCGACTGAGCGAAGGCCGACCCTCGCTGGCGGAGGTCCGTAGAGCTCTAAGAAGTGCCCGAAGAGCAACTATCGCCAGCTTTGTTGGCTGCATGCTCTGGTGTTTCGTGGTCTGGCCGCTGCTTTCCTTCCTCTCCCAAACTCTCAGTTTCAGTCAATTTATTCTCTGGGTACGCATCCTTCTGCCAATTCTTTGACTATCTAGAGTAAACTCTCCTCATCTTTAGCTCTCCTCTGGTCGAAGAGAGTGGAAAAAAGTCGGAAGCCAAAAAAATGTTTTATGAATTAGCGCTTCGTCAAAGTTCTCAGTTTTTGTTCAAAGGCATCAGGCCCACAAGCTTTGTCACATTCAGAAAACGCACAGGGACAATCAGACTTCCGAATTACTCTTTGTTTCCTTGGATAAATATGGGCGAAGCTCTAACAAAGTAAAATAAAACACTTTTAGTGGAACATCGGAGGACATCGCGTGTCCTGGTCTTAGATTTCCAAGCACAGGTTAAACGTGTTTTCTGAAGTCATAGCAGCAGTTGGAGAATTCTGGGTAACAGTAGTCAGAAAGTCAAAAGCAATCTTTCCGGCTCCCTATTCCCGGCGGTACTACGTTAGAAATTTACTATATGGTGTAATGAAAGTTAATATAATTAATAATTAATGAACGGTGGGTGGTCTTAAAAGATTCATACAAAGAATAAAATAGTAAAAACCTAAATGTGCCATTCCTTTAGACGCAAAATTTTAAGAGGACTTGACTGTCCAGAAAATGGGTGTAAGACTGAATATATTTTTCACCTTTTCGGCAAAATATACTTCAATTTATGAGCACATCGAAGATCCACAGAAAGTCTTGGGCAAGCCTTCCTTCCTGCGAAAGACTGATCTCGCACAAAAGAACGTAAGTGCGACTCCCGCGTGCTTCGAAGGAGGGGGGTGGTGCAGGGAGAATGATGTGCGCATTGATTAGTTCAAGGTGATAATGCACTTGCGCTGCATCAACCGCACTCTCACATAGCTCATTCACCAGTGTCCAGTGTCAAAACAAAATTAAGAGGATCGGATGTGAGATCAGGCGCAACACACAATATTATAGCATGCCATGCCCCGCTGCGACAGAGATCAGGCATGACAAAAGCAACAAGAAGTCTGCGGTCTTAACTGAAGAAAAAAGACGCACTTATAAAATTGCTTTTTTTAAACGAAAAAATATGTTTGCATCATAGACTTTTCAATTAAAAACATGGGATATAT